GGTGCTCAGGTAAAATTAAATAACTTCACAAATTGGTTTTGCCTTTCTGGTATATCTTGTTGGAAAAGGAAAGCCATGCTTAATATTTTTGTAGGAAAGGTGTGCTGCTCTTTTTCCTGATCTTTTCTTGTCTATACTTTTTTAGGTGACTTTCTCTCATCCCCAACACCTGTTGTGTAAGTTAAAAAATATATTGCTTGCAAAAATATTGATTCTCCCTAGTATGCAAACTAGTAATTTTGGCATTATATTTCTTAAGAATATTGTGGAAAAATATTGTGCAAGAGTTTTTTTTTTAAAAAGTAGTAAGTATTACTTTGCATCTAAAGTAATATGTCCTTGGGAAGCTATGGCAATTCATGTTGCCACTGTTCCCCTTCTGCCACATTATTGGACTTGTGTGGAAGCCCATGGGTTGGATGATGAGGCCTTGCATGCTGGATTGTGTGAGGTCATGCTACAGCTGGACCTGGCACGCAGGATTGCAGCTGTGGCCCAGTTCCTTACATGCTGACCCTAAATTGTATCTGACTTGTGAGCCCGCCCTATGCCTCTTGTCAGGCCTGCAGTGCCAAAAGGTTGAGCACCAGGGTTATAGAAAGTATTGTTTTCTTGTTAAGGGAAAAGGCAGAATTAAGCATTGGTTAATTTAAACCCTAGCATCTGTAAGCATGTTTAAAGTGAGGTGTTTGATAAAGCTGCTATCCTTCAGTAAAGCCATGAACTTTTTATTACAGAATGTTTATAAGTTGAATACCTCATATCTGCTGAATAAGCATCAGAACTGTCTGTCCAAATACAAGCACAGAACAGGATGTGCTTTTGGTGAGACTGCTCTGTCCAGAGACTTAAAAAAAAAACCCAACAGTTTTCACACCTTTTGATTTGAAGGTGCCATTGTTAGCAAAAATGCACATTTGCTTATAATCTATGCCCTTCCCTTTATCAGTCATTTCTGGTAATGCACTATGGAAGCAAGTAACATGAAATGTTAGGTACTGATGTTTTCTTATAGGGATCCACAAACCTGACTTAATCTGTTTTTAAGTTAAGATTTAATTCCAGCTCAGTTCTAACACTGTGGATAAAAGGGCTGGCATCTTTTTGTTTGAAGTTGGGAACAGTTGATCTTCAAAGGATTGCAGTTTTATTTCTTTAAGAAATTAGACATGATTTTGCATTTACAAAGACAGTAAAAATCTGTGGAATATATTCAGCTAGTGATGTTAAATCATTTGTGGAAGTCATTTGGAACAGACTCTGGCAGTTCTGTTTCCTACATTTCCCTGCTGTCTGCCTCTGTGATAACTGTGTTTTTGGTATTTTGAAACCCTCATTAAATTGCTCGCTTGCCAGAAGAATGTACACCTGACTTTGTGTCCAGATATGAGGGGTCCTGACTTTGTTTAGTAAACCTCTTAGATATGAATTATCTACGGAGTTTTTCCTTGAAGTGTTTTGAATATTTTTGTGAGAGGCAGGATTTCGTAGGGTGGTATCTTTCTTGGACCAATGGTCTATCTGGGATAGAGGCAGGCAGGCTTTTGAATGGAAGACATTCTTCTGCAGGTCTGAGGGGTAAAAGGAAGCACATCATCATCATCATCATCATAATAATAATAATAATAATAAAAAAAAAAAAACAGTTGGAAGAAGGAGGAGAGAAATTTCCAGGGGTAGAGGGTCGATAATTAGCTGAAGAAGAGGAACTGATTACTGGGAGATGAAGACCTGCAGAAAGACAGGAGAGTCATTACCACCTTTTACATGTGGGAAGAATTCAGGAATCAAGTAGGTTATAATGCACCATAAAACCAATATCAGTGTTAAGTTCCTGGTTATTAATGACCAGCCAGCTTGTGAATTTTTGTTCACAAGTTTGCTTTTTTTAAAGGTGTTAGGTAGATTTCCCTTGAGTATGTGATTTGTTCTGTGAGAATTGAGCTCCTAGTGGCATATATGTCTGTTTATATATTTTTTTTTTCTGTGCAAGTTCATTTTGTTGCATAGCTGCTGTTTAATTTAACCTGTGTAGTTGCCATGAGGGCATTTTGTGCATTGGGTCAGATACCAAGTTTTGGGTAAGGCATTTGTAGGAACCATGGATTTTGGTGGTTGAATGTTTTTGACGTACAGATTTGCTGGACTTTATAAAAATATATATAGTTAACTTCAGAACCTTCATCAATATTCAAAGATGTACAGCTACTTTATGAAGGTAACTACTAAAATATGTAATGTGCCTTTGATTTGTTTTTTAAAAATGTGTGATTTCCCACCCCCCCAGTTTTTCCTATTGAAAACATGTTGAAAGGTTGAAGGACTTCCAAATTGTTTAGCTTCTGTCACAATAAAATGACACACTTCTGCATCTATAAATGTATTTATGACTAGAGCATATAAGAGAGAACTAAACAATATACAAACATAACGAAAGTAACTAATATGAAACTCAATTATTTAAATGCATCAACATCACAGTTTAGAATTTGGCTTTTAGACTTAAATATTCTAATTAATGCTGCCTTAGTGAAATGCAGTCCCCTGTGGTGGGGAGTTGGCAGCTGTTCAAAAGTACAAACCAGTATTAGGAAATTGTTTGAGACAAAGAAGTGAAGAATACTGCTCAGTCAAATTATGGCTCTTGCCATTTTACAGTGTCTGAGTACAATGCCAGGACACTAGTTCCAAGTAGCAGGGTATTATTTAGGACGGCGCTTGGCAATTAGTAACTGGTGAGTTGAAACAACTCAGCTTGACTCTAAAGGGGTTCAACCCTTCCAGCCTGGCCACTGCTACTGCCATGTCTCTATGTTGTCCGACCGGAGTGTGGGCAAAACCCACCATCACTGGAACAGTGATGAAGTCTCTTGTTCCACAGGCTAGATAAAATGGCTTTGGGGGCCATAGGTTGCTGAGCCCTGATTTAAGGAATAATTTTCTATTAGAAATATTTTAGGTCAGCGTTGTCCCTCATTTGTGTATAGTGTTCAGATCTTTAAAAGACAAATTGGTTTAAGGTAAAATTGTAATATTGCAACTACTTATTTTGACATGGGTGAACTGAACCAAAAAAGGATCTTGCCAACATTTCTTGCTCTAAGGTGGCTTTACTTTAAACAGTTCAACAGGTTAATAATGACAAATTTTGATGTTATATGAGCAAACAGTATAGTGTGCTGGAAAAACATTTAACTACTGCAATTTTACACTAAGTGCACTTTCTAAGATATGTGACCAGCTTACTCTATATTGAATATATGGATAAAAACCTTAATTTTTTAAGATAGGCAAATTAGCCATCAGTAGCTTTTTTTTTTTCCTGCAAAAGCTATAGTAAAGGTAGGATGCTTACTACAACTGCAGAATGAAATGAAGTATTTTCTGATCTTTACTAGTTTTGGGCGCACATGCACATTGCTGAGTCATAGATTTTCACATCTGTTGCATAAAATCAAATGTTTGTAGGCCAGAAGGGGACTTTTAGAAATTTTTCCAATTCAACCATGTGTACAGAAGCACCATCAGGTACACTTAGATCAGTGAGGGGTGAGCCTTTCCAACAGATGTGCTACATTTAGCCCTGTACCCTTCCCAAGTGCCAATGCAATCCCCTTCTTCCGCCTGATTTGCTGCTTTACTTTTTGGTTCCAGCCATGTGCCACTATATTGCCTGCCCCTTCACTGATCTGCCATGTGCCACACACAGAGGTTGCCTGTCCACTTGTGAAACCTGTGCCACAGATTGTCCACCCCTTGCTAGTTTCCAGACAGAGAGCCTGAAGATGAAGTCACCTGAACAAAATTAAAGACCAGCTGCAAGGGCTGCATGGTGGGGGTATTTTTCATGTTGTCCATAAACTAAAGTCCCCAGAAAGTGGAAATTACCTTTAACACAGTCTAAGGTATTATCTAGGGAATAAAAGGAAGTGCCTGCAGTACTGCTTCTGCGGCACATGGGGTTTACTGTAGGATAGCACTCTGTTGTAGAGGACAGTGGTAGCTTTGTGGATGTTCATGCTCTGGAATAGCTCCCAGTAACATCAACAGGGAAGGGAATATGAAATATAATTTCAAACAGTGGGCGCTAGAGGCTGGTGTTATAAGCTGATTTGAAATAAAAGCTGACCTGTTGATATTCTGTGAGAAAAGATACATAGCTTGCTGATAGCCTGTGAAGACTCTTGAACTTGAGGACAAAAAACATCAGTTTGATAGGGAAGCCATTTGGTGGATGGAAAGAGAGGGATGGTGTGGTCAATGTGGCAGACTGGGAAAATGATGCTTAACGGAGTATCCTGAAGAAGTAGGAGTGTAACAAATTTGTATTTCTTGGGCCACAGCAAAGGTGGTTGCAGCAATCAAGATGTGAGAGAGGAGTCTGGATGACAGTTTAAAACCATCTGAGTGGAATGGAAGGAGCTGTATTTTAGAGGTGTTAAGTAGAAAAAAATTGGCAAGATTTTGATGTAACCTGAATACAGGGATGTAGAAAGAGGTCTGTTGCAGATTGTTGACTGAATGACAGGCAAATTGTTGGTGACATCTAGAGCAATTTAAAAGGAAGTAGTGAGGAGGGGTTGGTAAGGAAGGATGAATTTTGTTTTACATTGTAGTTTTAGTTTTACTTCAGTAAAATAATTTTTAAATATTTAAAATATTTAAAGCTTAGCTTATTTAATGTTAGAATGTATTATAATATTTAATTATTTTAATCATTTTAAATATTTAAAAATATTTCTGTTGCTCCTTGAGGGCTTAGCCAAATGTAAAATCTGATATTTTTTACCACTTTTGAATTAGATGTGTAGAAATTAATTTTCTATTTATTTTGGACAGGAAAAAGGTATCTTAATTACGTTGCTTAACTAACTTAGAAGTTTTTTACCACTGTTTTCTCAAACTTTAAAAAACTAACTCAAATCAAGGTAAAATCAAACGTGTAAAGGGAAAGAATCATGCATTTATTTATTATATGTTTGTTTTCTTTACAATTCCAGGGCAGCTGAGATCCTTTACTCTCTGGCATTAGTACAGTGCAGGAAATCTGACAAGATGAATGCCTTTCCTTCAGTGGATCATTATAAGTTGTTGACAGAAGCTAGAAGGAACCTAGGACTCTTTCAACACCATGATGCCATCACTGGAACATCCAAAGATTGGGTAGTTGTGGATTATGGCACTAGGTAAAGGCAATTAATAAAAGATAATGTAGACTTAACATCTTTATTTTCTAACTTACTCGTTAGGTCGTAATACTGGTACGTATGTTTAATACAGCTACCAAATATATGTTAATAAGAAAATAGTGTTATTTCTACTTTGCACTTATTATGTTGACTTTCCTTTGAGATACTCAAAGTGCTTTACAAATATAGTGATATAGGGAAGTAGTTTCCCAATTTTCCAAATAAGACGCTACAACTTAAATTGATGTTTCAAAAGAAGGTTGAAAGGGAAGTCTGACCTTTGCTCTAACAAGGTAGCTGTTCTGTCCAATAATAGGCACTTCTGCAGTAATCACTGCCACAAATAAGCAGTGATTAAAAATATATATGTTCACAAAGCATTATGTGATTAAATTAGTCTTCCCCGCTATGTGGCTCCTAACTTTAATCTGGGATATGATTTTCATGGTGTCAAATTTATTAGTTTATTTGCAGATTGCAGTGTTGATTTCATTCCAGTTTCTGAAGTTAATTGTTTTTTCTCTACTGTGAAATGGAGTGTGGACAGACAAAACAATCATATTGGTTTTAAATTGCAGCTGTTTACTGTGTATTGCACTAGAACAATGTAACTGTTTTGTCTGTCCACTTTTATACTGATTGAAATAAAGCTAAATCTCAGTTACTTTAACCCCAGGTGAAGCTGTTCAGCTCCAGTTACGCAGACGTAGGAGCTCCGCTTACACAGATGTCGGAATGGATAGACAAAAGAGTTGCTTTGGTTCTATGCAATAGACAGTTTCCTGTATTTGTTTAGATGGAGTTAAACCAGAGGTGGGCAATTATTTATGCCTGAGGGCCACATGGGGAGTCTCGTGGTTTGGGTCAGCACCCCTCCATGGATCAATTCACCAAAACTCCCTATGGGGCTTTGGGTGGGTGAGGAGCAGTATTCAGGAGTGGGATGGGCAGGTGAGGCCAGGGTCATGGGGCCAGGTAGTGGGGTGGTGACAACTCAGGGCCAAGGACTGGACCGAGCCATGATCCACTCCCTGCATGCCTTGCCCTGTGGGGAGGTGGGGTGTGGAGGACGTGTATGTGTGGGAGGGCTGCCTGGGCGCTAGGGGTGAGGGGCAGGAGGGGGAGAAAGGGGGCATCTGCAGCAGAGCTCATCTGGGCGGTACTGTTCGCAGCTGTCCCTGTGGTGCTCTGCATGTGGCTGAGCCCCGCTTAGGGCAGCTTCCCCTGTGTTCCTGCTGACCAGGCCTTGGCCCTGACCCGGGCCTGAAGCTGGCCAGCTGCCACTGTGTTCCCCTTGCCTCCATTGTCAGCTATTCCTCCCACTCCTGCCTCTGCTGCCCTGCTCTGGGCAGGCAGATGGGGGGACGTTCAGCTGGGCAGCTCTTGCTGGAGGTGAGGGGAACATAGCAGCACCAGGAACAGCTCCACCAGAAGCTGCAGGTGGCAGGCACAATGGTGTGTGCAGCTCAGGGTGCCCTGGTAGGAGCAGGTGGGGCTTTGTCTTATGCAAAGCCCCGCAGGGGCAGCTACGGGCTGGATCCAGTCATGCTGTATTTTGCCCCTCCCCCCTGGGGTTAAACTGTTTCATTCAGGTATAAAGCTGCTATGCTTTAGCTGTACTTCAATCAGTGGACAGATAAAAGAGTTAGGTTTGTTTGCCTGATGCATTCCTTTGAATACTAAGTTTTCCTGTAATATGGTATATTGTTACAGTTGTCCACAACCAGAATAATCTTACAGTATTCCCAGGCTAGTTAATAAAGTA